CCCCAAAACCCCAAAACCCCAAAACCCCTATTCCTAATATTTCAGTTGAATGTTTATTCGTAGTTGAAAATCCAACTATTTGGGCTACATAAAGTCATTCAAGGTGATTGAGGTGCGCAGATTCATGCGAAATTTCATACCTCTTTTCTTGACTGAAGGAGTGTAAATTACCTCAGGGCTTCACTTGGACTTCATATCTTGTGTTAACTTCAAAATCTAGATATTATAAGCCGATTTACCTTCTCCCGATTATGTGTGATAGACCTTTTTATTGGCCTAGCCACACAGAATCGTCTCTTTTGGCCCTCATTCGTCAGCTTTTCAAACTCTATTTTTGGAAGAGAGATCATGTCTATAAAGAGATTTCAGTAGAGGCAAAATGTTATAAGAAAATGCTGATTAGTCATTCTTGAAGAGGCAAAAGTAAGGAGTTCATAAACACAATAACTACCTAGTAAATCTCGGAAATGGCTTCAATCTCTTTTCTCGAGAAGTGTCTTATTCTTTCTAAAACCTGTAGTTGTCAGGAACTGCTTCCTCCATTCTTCGCTGCTTGTTCTATAAGGATTGGGCCTGTTTGAGGTATTTCTAGTGCCTAAAAGGTTGAGTCTACAGATACCTAGAGAGTTATTCCGGGCTTTGATTTTTCTCATCTTTATCAAAGAATCAACTTGAGCTAAAATATGAATTGAATTCATGCACATTTTTTATATTCGATTGACCGATTCCTAGCTTGGAAGGTTCTTCTCTGGCATTCTTTGACCATTGCCCTGACCTTACTCTGAAACTTTAAAATGGTTTCTAAGGAATCAGCCTGCAAATACCTCTATTTTGCTCTTTGAAGATAGCTAAACGAGGGGACTTGCTAACGCTTTTCCTTGGACTAGGGATGCTATAGCCTCTTTATTAGTAAATTCTGTGGTAAATCTTAGAATTTAGAATGAATTTTGTAAATAAAGCATATTTTCAGCTTAATTTTACCATATTGGTCATATTAGATGCTGTAATAAGCAAACTAAAGGGCTTAGACTGCAAATTTACTCTTTGTTTGGAGCCTGAACTGAACTTTTCTGAAGAGTCGTCCCAGAAAACTGGCTATAGGTATTAAGGCCTTTACTACCTCCTTTGAGCAGTTTTTCTAAGGGTTATTAACAATGCTTACTTGAAACTATTTTGATAGCAGAATGACTAAATGTTATGCTCAGGACCCTACCTGACTTTTACCAGAGACACCGTTAATGTCACTCCCACCATGGCTGTACTTGAAGCTCAGGTTGCACTTCTTGTGCTTGAAGCTCCTATACAGTAAAAGTCGTTGCTACTGTCTAGTTTTGTGATGCTTCTTTTTATGTTTACAATGCTTCCGAAATTTAGTGGGTGATAATAGCCTTGGGCTATCTTCATCCTTGAAATCTTCTGAGTCAACTTCTGACATTTTGAACGTATCTGAGCTATCAATAATTTTAGAGGAGCTCTTTGACTGCCTTGATCCTGTTTCTTCAACCTCCTGGATAGCATCCACTCCAATCTTGTTTTCATCTGGCCTCTATATCGATTAAGTTTTGAATCTGAAATGAGCCAGCTGAATAAACTCACCATGAAATAACTTTTATCTTTGTTACTGTACAGTTCGGACTCGTTGTCGTTAAATTTTAGAGTTTTATTTGCCAAAGAATCATGAGGGAAAATTGAATTCTCACTCAACTCCTTCTCCTCCTCCTCGTTAAGTAAACTCTACATGTTAAAGAACAGGGAGCTACCAGCATAGATGGTCTGCGGTAGTCGACCACTGACTTTTTGCTGTCAAGAATGCTACTACCTCCTGCAAAGGTGCTGAGTTTAAAACTTTTGTTCGTGGAAATGCTGTCATTTCGTTTATTTTTGCTATTTTTAAGTGAAAAACTTACACTCTTCGCCTCGTCCAACTATTGCCCTTCTTAGAAAGTTGCTGCTGGAATTCATTGACCAACTTAATGGACTTATTTAAATGATTTCTTCTCTTGCTTCAGAATAAGGCTGGCAATGGATTCTAAAACAGTGAGAGAGGGCTTAACTCCAATTGTTCTCCTTAATCTCACACTCATGCCCTTCTTCTCTACTATAGCTTCTTGAGAGGTCAAAAGAGGTGTTCTTAGAATCTGAGCTGAAATAATAGTCTACAATAAGTCTCAGAATTACTAATTTTCTCCTGGAGAGGGACCTGAGGCAAAGTTGTAAAATCTTTAATCATATTCTCATATTCGGTGGTCTTCACTGATTCTATCTTGTCTTTCCACCTTAAGTAAATAAGGTTGTTCCTGGCTTCTGAGATCTAGAAAGGGATGAATCAAGATGAAAAACGTACTATTTCGTTCTTCTTAACGTGAATAGCCTTCTTCCTAGCCAAAGACCAATTGGACTTCTTAAGCCTGCTCTTATTTATACAGAAGTCTGCTTGCGATGTTTTTATGACTGATTGTTAGAAAGTAATGAGGTACCGAAATTTCTTCCTCTGGTTCTTATACGACTCGATTAATGCTTTTGCTGCTCCTAAAATTGACGAAAATTAATACTTTGAGCTATATCCGGCTGTCCTTGATTCATTTTATTCAATATATTTTGAACTAAAAGGGGTTTTGGGGTTTTGGGGTTTTGGGG